TTTTAAAACCAAATAATTTTTGAAACCAAATAATTTTTAAAACAAAATAATTTTTGAAACCAAATAATTGAATTAAGTAAACTGTATATTTGAACCAAACATGTCTGTATTTGTAAAAAAAAAAGCAAATAATTGATTCAAGTAAATATTTATTTAATATTAATAAAATAATAAAGTAATCGAGTATTTAAATCAAATAAATTTTTTTGCAAAAAAAAAAAGAAATATTGAATTAAAAATTAAAATCTTTTAGTATAAATATGATTTATATAGAAAAATACAAAGATATCTAGAAATAGTGAATTATCGTGACATCTAACGGTGGAGTTGTGAAACCGGTGAATTATTTCAGGGGCGTTAAGAAAGAGCACCGGGAGAGAGAAAAAGAGAGAGAAAAAGAGAGAGAGAGAGAGAGAGAGAGAGAGAGAGAGAGAGAGAGAGAGAGAGAGAGAGAGAGAGAGAGAGAGAGAGAGAGAGAGAGAGAGAGAGAGAGACTGAAGAAGAGATAAACGAGTGTGAAAAAGAAAATTTCGTTTGATTTGAAGAGCCAGGTTATTTAAAGGAATTCGCAGCTCGATTTTCGGTAGGGATTGGTTGGTCCGTTTGGTGAGATTGCACATCGCGCGAGATAGCGTTGATTGTAATTAATAGCCGCAGATCCAGGCAGCATCCTTACCCGCTGCTGTAGCCGGTTTCTCAGAAAGACTAACGGCCAAAGCTCACGAAAAGGTGCTCAACACATATACACACAATTTCATATACATATATGTACTTAATTTCTAAAATAAATTTATGCTACTACAATTATCGTAATATTGCACAATCATAATTTTTAATTTTTCAATAATTTTTTTTTCTGTATAATTAAAATAATTTTGTATTTTCAATTAATGTAGTAATTAATTTTTTTTTTTTTTTTTTTTTTTTTTTTTTTGAAAGTGAGGAATTTATGAAAAGTTTCGTAATATTTCATTCAAGAAGTATTTATTTCTGGAACAGTAAATTTTAATTCTTGGTATAGTAAAATTTCACTTATCTTAAACTTAAACTTAACTTGAACGCAGTAAGTAGCGTTATTGTATAGTAATTTTTACTATACTGTAAGTAAAATTTTACTGTACCAATTATCAATATAGTCACAGAAAATTAAAAGGCATTAAAATAAGCTGCAACGCTTACTATTTTAATCGAATTTTGCTTATTTTAATACCAAAATGAATTAAAATAAGCAAAATTGGATTAAAATAATAAGCGTTGCAGCTTATTTTAATACCATATAATTTTCTGTGGTAAGAGCTTCTATACTGAATAAGAAATTTTACTATACTAGAAGGCAATTGTTACTGTGTTTAGAATTAAAATTTTATTACTATACTGGAAATTACAGTATTATTCTAAATATAGTGTCCATTTACTTCTAGTATAGTAAAATTTAACTTCTGGTATTGTAAAATTTATTTAAAGTATAGTAAAAATTATTTTGAGTACAGTAAAATTTTTTTGAAGTATAGTAAAACGTACTTTCTGTGTAATAAAATTGTATCTACAACACAGTAAAAATTACTATACCTAAAATGAATTACCGCACTTTAAAATGAAATTCCACTTCTACTATAGAGTAAAAATTATAAACATATTTACTTCTAGTATAGAAAAATTTTGATTTCTGGTTCAGTAAAATTTCATTTAAGTATAGTAACACTTACTTTTTTGTGTAATAAATTTGTACCAATACAGCATAGTAAAAATTACTAAACCAAAAATAAAATTCCAGAGAATAAAATTTAATTACATGTACTTTGAGAGTAGTAAAATTTAAGGTTTTGGTATAGTAAATTTTAACGTTTGGTACAGTAAAATTTGACTCTAAACATGGTAAAATTTTACTTACAGCATATATGCTAAAAATTACTAAATACAAATTAACAATTTATATATTAATATTAACAGTTCAAATTGAAGATAAAAGACGATAGTTTTTAGCTCTCGATATGGATGTGGGGGAAAAATAAGTGATTCCTGAGACTATAAATAAATCGCGACCCGCTGCATCTTGCAAAGACCGTAAATCTAGAGAAGCGGGCATAATCGGCGACCAATCTGAAATCTCGCGCTGATCAAGGCGGCTGGTGGATTCTACATCGCCCTTCATTCTTTTTTTTCTTTCTTTTTTTTTTTTTTTTGTTCTAACTTCTTCTCTGTCCTCTCGATTTTATAGTTGGCTATATCCTTTTTCAACCTCTTGTGTATATACACGCATTGCATTGGTTCAGGTCAATCGATTTTACCAATGATGGTAATACACGGGGTCCCAAGGTGTGTGTTTATCGCGAGCGGTAATCCTGCAAATCCTCTCGATGCTATAAATCAGCTAACGCGACTCCTATATTCGCGCGAGTTTCTCAAACATTTTTTCGCGATCTGTATATATATATATATATATATAGAGTTTGAAAATTATCCTATTCGCTTTAATATTAGCTGTATCGTTATTGTAAATATCCCCTATGTACGGTAAAATTATTTCATTTTTTTTTTTCTAAACTCGTGTACAGAATATAACAGTTAGGTTTCATTATAAAACTGGATTTAATGGATGAGATATATAACAAATTAACGCGAATCATTTGAAAAAATTTCTTTCTTTTTGCTTTTGAGAAAATTATTGTACATAAATAAGGTTTTGAAATTTATTTATATCATATTATCTTTTATTATTAATGATGTAAAAAATATTTTTCCGGATCCCTGGAGAGGCCAAGGGGGAATTTTTTTTTTTTACAAGTTAAAATTCTTTGTGGGGATGCTGGATACTTGGTTCTGGACCACCAGTATGAATATTTTTCTCCAAAGATTTCTATATTAGGAACAGTGATATATTTGTTCTTTTAAACTATCACAGGAAGATGCTATTTTCATTATTAATTATTATCATTATTATTATTATTATTATTATTATTATTATTATTATTATTATTATTATTATTATATTTATTATTATTATTATTATTATTATTATTATTATTATTATTATTATTATTATTATTATTATTATTATTATTATTAATATTATTAATTATTACCTACACGGAAAAAAATTACCTGAAACAAAGAAACGTTTTTGCTACAATAGCAAAAGTTTTACTTGTTTCAGTTAAATATTTTGCTATTCTAGTGAAATCTTTTGCTGTTTCAAGTAAATTTTTTTTATAATTATTATAATTTTCATCTTAATTTGATATTTTTTAATTTCTAAATTGTTAAAATAAATTTAAAAAAAAAAACATTTCAAAAATGATAAGGAGTGTCTGATAAAAAAGTTTATTATTTTTATTTAAAAAAAAAAAACGAAAAAATATTTCAAAATTAGATTATATAATGAAAAAAATTAAAAATAAAAGTAGTTTATGGGAAAGTTTCCAAAAATGTGTAAGTGACATTTGTCACGTAAACTTTATTCAACCACGTGCTCGCTTTAATGCTTCCTGAAAAGCTACTATTTCATTGCATCATTTTTCATCAAGTCGTGCAAAATGTATTTTGCATTTTGCATCACTTTCTATTACCCAATGTGACTCATTCCTTGCAGGATATTCCCAGAGAATTATTTCTTTTTAGAAATTGAATGACGTTATTAGGTATATACACTTTAGATGATAGATAAATCTTTATAATATATATATATACACCTATTACAGTGTGAAATCACGATTTAGAAATTTTTTTTTTTTTAAGAAACCTAAAAAAAGGTTGCAAAATTATTTCCATTTCATTTTTTTATATTAAATTTTGCATCAATTATAATTGTTAACTCGACATTTTTTTTTAAATTATGCAATTTATTCTCAAAAATAATTTATTATTTTTCAAAATAAGAATTTATTTTGAAATTAAAAATATATTCCAATTTTCAAAATGTACTTCAAAAAAATATATTTAAAAAAAATATATTCTAAATTTAAAAATATATTCTAATTGTTAAGAAAAAATTAATTATTAATAACTAATAAATTAATTTTTATTATTTTACTTTTTTGTCAAAGTGTCAATTAAAAAATCGACTTAAAAAAAAATTACAAAAGAAATGTAACAAAAAATTGGAAAATAGTCCAAGGTAAATGCTTATTACATTTTTATATACAATAAATAATTAAAATCCAATGATATAGAATTTTATGTTTTTTTTTTTTTAGAAAAATAAAAATTAAACTATTTTTGTTGAAAAAAAATTAAAAATTTATTCTTATGAAAAATTTTAAATATCTAAACTTGAAAAAAAACGTAATTTTTTTTTTATGCCAATAAAAATATTTTTATAAACACATCTGTTGTGTCTTTCGAGGAATAAATATTCTAAGTTCCTTTTAAAACATCCGGAATGATATATTAAATTGCAGTAAAGTTTAATTTAGAAATCGTTCACTGTCAAGAAATTTACGTGACTTCCCAGCCTAAACGAATGGCTGAACTTTGGGAGATTCAATTTTTTTTTTTTGGATCCTTTACATTGTATATTGATCCTAAAAAAAAAAAATTTTCCAAAATTATTTTTGCTAAATACAATTTTAAAATTCTCAAAAAATGGGTAAAATTTTTCAATTCGTAAATAATTTTGAAAAGAATTTTTATCAAAAATATAAAAAAAAAAAAAAAAAAAAACTAAAAAGGTATATATATATATATACGGAATTATTTGGAAGTACTAACGGGAAACCTTCGTATACGATCAATGGACGCTATAACAAAACCATTGTATTAAATTGCATCATTTTTACGCAAGCGCTCTAAAAAAGAACCGAAAAAAATCATCGAAATAAAATTCTATAATTTTTATTCATCTTCAATATTATATTGAAAAAATGATAATTCTCATTAATTTCTCGATTATTATTTTTTTTTTTTTGTTAAAAATTGAAAAAAAAGAATTTGAAATTTTGAATAAAAGTTTCAATGGAATTTCTACCCGCCAAAGAGGTCGCTTTCGACATCATAAAAGTAAGTGCAAGGTCACCTTACCCTCCACAAACTGTCGAGCATCAGTTCAGTGAATTCACGTTTAACAGGTGTAGTGTTTTCGGTGATAAGAACATTAATCTTGAAATTTAATAAATAATATTACCGATATTTAACCCGATAGGAAACAAGGTATTTAATGTTATCAATTTTTTATTAATATTTTAATTAAAAATTTGTTGAGAAAAATTTTTTAATTTCATTCATAATATTTCGGTTTTTTTTTCTCATAAATCGATTTTCACATGGTAACTAGTTTTTTAAATTGACTCAACAGTCAAACTAATATTTCACAATGCCGGCATAATATATTATTATTTCAATTATTTATACTATTATTATTATTATTATTTATTATTATTTATTATTATTATTTATCATAATTTTTATTACTATTTTTATATTTTTTTATTACTATTTTTATATTTTTTTATTAAAATTATTATATTTTTATTTTTGTTACTGTATAAAAAATATATTTCTGAAATTTTGTATTTGATATTCTGTCTTATATAATTAATTATTTTATACTGTACATTTAATAAGTGAATAAAATTGATTGTTATTACATCATCGTTTTTTTTTTTTTTTCTATAATTAACATTGCATCATCATTACATCCAAAAATTTAAAAAAAAATGGAATCGTAATATTTGTTTAATTTTTACATATAATTTACATTATTTTTTTATTATTATTTTTGAAATTTTTTTTGTGTTTTTTTAAAATACAATGATTTTATTAAATTTTTCATTCTTTTGTATTAAAAACGATTAAAATTTCATATTTATTTTTCTATTGATTATATTTAAAATTCTTATATTAATTTTTATTTATTCTACTGTCATTAGTATTTTTACTTGGAGAGTTAATTTATTATTGATTTTCTCATAATGACAAATATTTACTAAATGTAGAAACGTTTTTGTTTCTGTATATGACAAAAATTTTATATATACAATTCAGAATGATTTAAATGTGAAAAATAATTTTTCATTCAAAAATTATTATTTGTAATGATAAAAATTTATAATAAACGAAAAATAAATAAAAAAAATTAATTAATTAATATATATAAAAATAAATATATAATAATAAAATTATTAATAATAAATATAATAATTTAATTTAATTTAAATTTAATAATAAATATAATAATAAATTTAATCATAAATATAAAAATAAATTTAATAATAATTAAATATAAAAAATCTTTTTTTGCAAAAATTTATATTTAAAAACTATAACATCATTCAAAGATAATATTTTAAATAAATAAATAAATTAAAAACTGATTTTTTATAATTAAAATATCAAAGGTGGTTAATTTATTTAAAATCAATAAACAAATGTCAGAAAATATCTAATTTTAATTATATATTTTTTTTTATTCCAAAGATAATGAAAGAAAAAAAAAATTTTTTATAAATTGATAAATGTCGCGGTCAATTTGATTAATAATTGCGCGGTGACATATTATATATGTCGCAGGTCGACGAACGTTGAACTCAAATAAAATTGACAATAATTGACAAATTGTTAAAACACGTGCTTCTCTTTCTCTCTTTTTCAATATATATATACTATATAAACAAAATTCCCATTTTAATACAAGTGGCGTCATCTTTTATTAAATCCGCGAAATTTAACTCGCGTTTTTACCATCGCGACGATAACCATACACACACACATTGAAAAAATAAGGAAAGCGCAATCCTTGGAAAACACGTTTATTTTGAATCATTTTAGCATTTTACTATCATTTCATTAAAGAAGAGAGAGGGGGGGGGGGTTTGAATCTAAAAAAAGAATCGACTTTAGGAACACATATTCAGTCGTTTAGGTACAACTAAACTGTATAGTCATATTTATAATATTTTATTATTTTAGAGAAAGGTAAGGATAAAAAATTGTTCAAATTTTAAGGACTTTTTAAAAATTTTTGTATTATTATTAATTTCAAAAAAAATTATTAATAATAATTAATAATAATCATAATAATATAAATTCATAAAAATATAATAATAAAAAATATATTTTTCATGTGTAATTATAATAAAATTTTTAAACCAGCGAATTTAAAATTAATTCCATTAAATAATTTTTTATTTTTTTTTATTAAATGAATAATAATAATATAATAAAAAATTTACTTTTTATTTGTAAAATAATTTTTTTATATTTTTACTTTTTTTTATTAATATTATTTTTTAAATTAATATTGTTATTACTTTTATTATTAATATTGTTATTATTTTTATTTTTTTTTTATTATTATTGTTATTATTATCATTGTTATAATTATTTTTATTATTATTCTACTAGAAAGTAAAAGTGTATAATTTTTTTTAATGGGGAAAATATCGAATTCCTTCGACCTCTAACAAGGTGACGCGTGCGTACGAAAATTCGACCTTAGCGATCTATGGAAGGTCAATCATGGGGATGAACTTAAGACTTCGGGGCATAAACAATTTTTATTTAACCTTTTTTAAAAAAGTATTTTTAATCGATTTTTGCAAAATTAAAACATAACTCCTATTTGTTTAAAAAAAATTTTAATTAAAATTTTAAAAAAATTATCATTTATTTTGTTAAAATTTAGTTTTTTGAAATTTAAAAAACGTTTTTGCAATAAAAAAAATAATTTTGATTTACGTAGTGTTTTGCAATAATCGATGTAAACAAATTTAACGGTGTTTTGATGTTCAATTTTTTTTTTTTTTTTTAATGTAAAACCTTCAACCTTATAAATTTTTATTAAATATATAATAAAGAAAAAAAAATTTGTACTTACAGCATCACCATGGCATCGATAAAGGAACAATTGTTGAGCACCGTGACGGAACCAGTTGCAACTGGAAAAAATAAAATTACAATTGTTGGAGTTGGTCAAGTTGGAATGGCGTGTGCTTTTAGCATTTTATCTCATGTAAGTTATTACAAAAAAAAAAAGAAAAAAAAAGTTAAATAAAATTAATAGTAAAAATACCAAAGATAGAAACAATTGTAATTAATAATTTTTTTGAAATTTGTTTTAATTTTGTTTAAACAAATTTAAAAATTTTTTTTTGTCTTCGCAGGACATGTCAAGTTTTTATTCACTTTGTTGATAACAATTTTGTTTAAACAAATTTAAAGAAAAATTTCAATTTGTTTATAACAATTTTATTTAAACAAATTAAAAAATATATTTCTTATTTTGTTTGTAACAATTATGATTAAATAAATTAAAAAAAAATTTTTTCCATTTTTTTGGAACAATTTTGTTTAAACAAATTAATAAAAAGTTTATTTTCGATTTATTTATAACAATTTTATATAAACAAATTTGAAATAATAATATAAATAAATTTAAAAAGTTTTTTTCAATTTGTTTGTAATAATTTGGTTGAAGTAAATTAATTAAACATTTTTTTTCGATTAATTTATAACAATTTTGTATAAACAAATTAAAAAAAGTTTTTTTTTCATTTGTTTATGCAAATTTATTATAAACAAATTGAAAAAAAACTTTTTTTTTATTTGTTTATATAAAATTGTTATAAATAAATTGAAAATAAACTTGAAGCAAATTAATAAAAAGTTTCTTTTCGATTAATTTATAACAATTTTGTATAAACAAATTAAAAAAAGTTTTTTTTTCATTTGTTTATGCAAATTTATTATAAACAAATTGAAAAAAAACTTTTTTTTTATTTGTTTATATAAAATTGTTATAAATAAATTGAAAATAAACTTGAAGCAAATTAATAAAAAGTTTCTTTTCGATTAATTTATAACAATTTTGTATAAACAAATTAAAAAAAGTTTTTTTTTCATTTGTTTATGCAAATTTATTATAAACAAATTGAAAAAAAACTTTTTTTTTATTTGTTTATATAAAATTGTTATAAATAAATTGAAAATAAACTTGAAGCAAATTAATAAAAAGTTTCTTTTCGATTAATTTATAACAATTTTATATAAACAAATTTAAAAAAAGTTTTTTTTCAATTTGTTTATTCCAATTTTGTTTAAACAATTAAAAAAAAAAATTTCTTCACAGCACGTGTCAAGTGAAATTGTCCTCGTTGATGTAATGGCCGATAAATTAAAAGGCGAAATGATGGATCTTCAGCATGGCAGTTCATTTTTGAAAAATGCAAAAATAAATGCAAGCACTGATTATGCAGCGAGTGCAAATTCTGTTCTTTGTATTGTAACGGCCGGTGCACGTCAACATGAGGGCGAAACACGTTTAAGTTTGGTGCAACGAAATACCGATATATTTAAGGGAATTATTCCACAATTAGTGAAATATAGTCCAAATACAATGCTTCTTATTGTCTCAAATCCAGTTGATATTCTCACTTATGTGGCATGGAAACTTTCTGGTCTACCAAAAAATCGTGTCATTGGCAGTGGTACAAATTTGGATTCAGCGCGTTTTCGATTTTTATTATCGCAAAAATTAAACGTTGCACCAACTTCGTGTCACGGTTGGATTATCGGCGAACACGGCGACACCAGTGGTAATTAAAAAAAAAAAAAAAAATCATTTTTAATTATGACACTTGAAATTTATTTATTTTTAAATTTTTTATTTATATTTTTTTGTTTTTATTTTATTCTTATAATTTTTATTTTTTATATTTTTAAATATTTTTTATGTTTTTATTTATATATTTTTTAAATTTAAAAAAAATTATTTATGTTTATATTTTTATTTTTAAATATTTTTTTATGTTTTTATTTATATTTATATATTTTTTTAATTTTTAAAAAAATTATTTATGTTTATATTTTTATTTTTAAATATTTTTTTATGTTTTTATTTATATTTATATATTTTAAAAATTTTTTTAAAAATTATTTATGTTTTTATTTTTATTTTTAAATATTTTTTTATGTTTATATTTATATTTTTTAATTTTTATTCTTACATAAGAAGTTCTACTGTACGAAATGGATTGTCCCGTCAACTTCTTAAAATAAATATATGAAAATAAAAATATTTTTTTATATTTTTTTATGTTTATATTTTTATTTTTATATTTAATTTGTATTAAAAATTTGCAATATAACAATAAAATCAAAAAAAAAATTTAAAAACCTGGTTCTATGTAGCATAAGTATAGTAAAACCTCAAATACCGTCGAAGGGATACCTCGCCGGATCTCAGTCAGCGTCGAGAAATGCGACGCTACCTGAGATTTATGATGCCCGTCTCTCGACGATATATGAGGTATTACTGTTCTTGTATCAAAAACAATATTATTAATTATGCAATTATTTAATTGCAATAGAATTTAATTTATATTAAAAAAAAAATTTTTATTTTATTAAAATAATTTTACTCAATAAATTTATTAATTAATTAAATAATTGTCACGTACTATTTTAAGATTCGTTTGCGTGAAACAAATTCAAAAAATAACGGTGGAATTTTTTTTTTTTTTTTTATTTATTCAGTTCCAGTTTGGTCGGGCGTTAATGTTGCTGGGGTCAGATTACGCGAACTGGACGAGAGAATTGGTACAGATAAAGATGAGGAAAAGTGGAACGAACTCCATAAACAGGTGGTCCAAAGTGCATACGAGGTGATAAAACTCAAAGGTTACACTTCCTGGGCCATTGGTCTTAGTGTTTCAAATTTGGCCGCTGCCATGCTCAGAAATACAAATCAAGTTCACGCCGTGTCAACTATGATTAAAGTAAGTCTTTTTTTTTTTAGAAATTCAATTTCAATTTATGAATTAAAATTTTTTTAATTTTTTTCAATTTTTAATTAGAATAAAAAATATAAAAAAAAATTTGCAGGGGCTCCATGGAATCAAGGACGAGGTATTTCTCTCGCTTCCATGTTCTCTTGGTGAGGATGGTGTCACTTTTGTGGTAAAACAAAAATTAACAGACGCAGAGACTGAACTTCTACATAAATCAGCAAAAACAATGAACGATGTTCAAAAGGATTTAAAATTTTAATATTAATTTAAAATCATCTCTAAAAAAATAATTGCATGCTAGCATTTTTCAATTTTTAAATCGTCTATATTTATTACCAAAAAAAAAAAAAAAAAACCACTGACTCCCAAGACTTTTTAAACGAAAGTATAAATAATTATATTTGTATAAACAAGAGCAGGATCTCTTAAATCAAGTTCCTAATTAATCATCGCATTTGTTTCTCTTTTTTTCCCCCAGGATTTTATTTAATATTTTTTTTTCTATTTAAAAAAATGTATTTTTCGAAATTATTCGAATTTCATATATCAAAAATGTTCGAATTTTCTTTTTTTCTAAACTTGAATTTTGAAGCTAAATTTTTGGTTGAATTTTTTTATTTTAGTTAATATTAGTTAAATATTTTCTTTTTTAATTTTTTTCTTTGCTATCGAAATTTTTGATATGTGAACATTTTCAAAACAGTATTTTGAGTTACAAATTTCCGAAATACAGTATTATTAAAAAAAAAAAAAAAAAAGAAAAAAAAATTGTATTATTGGCAGTGGTACAGTATTATAAATTATTGTGTCTGTTGTCGTTAATCTATTATATGTTTGTAACAAAACGAATAACATTCAAAAAGTTTGTATGTACTAAAAAAAAAACCAATATTTGTATTTTCCACTGTGACAGAATTTAAATTGTCTCTATTTTTCAAACACTCGGGAAATAATTTTAAATAAATTATCCGTTGTGTATGAAATTCAATTTATATTTTATTTAATTTACAAAAACCCTATTTTAATTATTTTTTAATTATAAATTTACAATTTAGAAATTTTTTTTTTTTACTTTTTACTACTTTCTATTATTTACTTTTTTAAATTCTTTTTTAAATATAAAAAATGTTATATAGAGTTTTTAAAAAAGAATTAAAAATTTTAAGTAACCATGGATTTGTATAACAAATGATATTTGTCTAAAAGGTAAAACTGAAGTTAGCGTTTAATTTTTTTTTTTTTTTTGACAGGAATAAAAAATAAATAATTTTTATTATTTTTTGTTACGAGAGGAAGAAAAATATTATTTTTTTCCAAGCAATGTACACGTGTAATAAATGTGTACGACAAAATTTTGTTAAGTAAAAATTTGTTGTCAAAAAATTATGTTATTTTTTGCGGCACTTCGAATATCTGGACAATTGATAAAAAATCCATCAGTAAAATATTTTTCAACAACATGTTATTTTAATCGTTTACATCCAGCAACAATATTGAATGATGTGTTTGGTGGTAAAATAAGGAATTCCACATCAAAAGCTTGTGATAGGCAAAATGATACAAAGCAAGATGTTCAAAAACTAAATTTAGCGTAAGTTTTTTTTTTTTTAATTAAAAAATTTTTTTCGAATACTTTTTATATATAAATTTATTTAAATTAATTTTTTTTTTGTCAAAAATTTTATTTCTCTGTTTTATTTTGTACCTTCTTTTTAGTATAATTTTTATATTAGTGTCTTAGTTAAATTATCATTATTTTTATGCAAATTTTCTTTTTTTGCTTACTTTTTTATTTGTTTTATTTAGAAATTATTATTTATTATTAAATTTGAATAAATTTTTTAAATATTTATTTCATTTTCAAAATTTTGATTTAATTTTTTTTAAACAGACCTCAACCGTGTTTAAAAGAAGAACTCGTTTGCAATGTCTCAGAACCTGTGCGAGATGCACGAAATAAAGTTACTATCGTTGGATCAGGAATGGTGGGAATTGCATGTGCGAATGCTCTTCTTTTCCAGGTAAAAAAAAATGCAAAAAAAATTTTTTTTTATCTCAATAATAAAAAAAATACTAATTAGTATTTTTTTTAAATTAATTGCCATTTTTTATTAAATTTAATTAAATTAATTGATAGAAAAAATTAAAATAAATTTATTTATTTAATAATAAATAATAATTTTAATAATAAATAGTAATTTTATTAATAAAGAAATAATGTTAATAATTATAAAAAATGCTTGTAAAAATTTTTAGAGAATAACAAATCATTTGGCGATCGTGGATGCTTTTCCAAAAAAATTAGAAGGCGAGGGTATGGACTATTGTCAGGGATCAGTTTTTCTTGACAATCCACGAATTGATTATGATACAGGTGGATTTTTTTTTTTTTTCGTGAAAATAAATTTAATTACAAATTAAAATATTCGCTGAAAAATATTTTATAATGGATTTTTTTATAAAATGGAATTTATTTACAAAAAAAAATGTATTTTAGATATTGTTTAAAAAATTATAGAAAAATAATTTTTTTTAAATTAATAAATTAAATTAACTTACTTTTTTTCTCCCCCAAAAGATTTTTGTGTTACAAGCAATTCCAAAGTGGTGATTATAACAGCTGGTGCACGTCAAAAAAAGAGTGAAAGTCGATTAGATTTGGTACAGAAAAATGTGGATATTCTCAAAAATATTATTCCACCTTTAGTTCAATATAGTCCGAATGCCGTTTTTCTTGTGGTTACCAATCCAGGTTAAACTTCATTAAATATGCAAATTTGAAAAATTAATATATTTTACTCAATTTTTTTTCATTAAAAAAAATAATTATAAATAAATTATAAAAAAAAATTATAAAAAAAATTATAAAATAAAATTATAAAATAAAATTATAAAATTATAAATAATTATAAAAAAAAAAATTTATAAATTACAGTTGACATTTTGTCCTGGGTAACATGGAAGGTGAGTGGATTGCCAGTTAATCAAATAATTGGAAGTGGAACGCACCTAGATAGCGCCAGGTTTCGTTACATGATTGCCAATAGAATTGGAGTGGCTCCCACTTCTGTTCATGGACATATCGTCGGTGAACATGGAGATAGTCAAGGCATTTTTTACTATTTAAATATTTTCCAAAAAAAAAAATGAACCAATTTTTATTAATTAAAAAAAAAACTTTTTCTTTAAATAAAAATATTTTAGTTCCCTTATGGTCAGGAGTGAATATCGCAGGTGTACAATTTCGCGATATTTTGCCAAACATTGGATTAGAAACGGATGAGGAAAATTGGAAAGATATTTTTAGTGATGTTGTAAAGTGGTAAATTTTTTTTTTCACTAATTAAATAATTTATTTTAATAATAATTTAATATTATTTTTAAAAATTAATTTTTCAATTAATTAATTTTTAGTGGATCGACAGTTAGATGTTTAAAAGGGTATTCAAATACTGCCGTTGGTCTTGCAATTGCTGATATAACTAGTGCCATTCTTCGCAATACTCTCGAAGTAAAGACAATTTCCACTCTCATGCAGGTAAATTTAATCGCAATTGAAAAATTAATTTTAAAAATTAGTAAAATTATTAATTATAAAAATTAATTAAACGATTAATTAATTATAAAAATTTATTAAACGATTAATTAATTTCATTGAAAAGTTTTAAGAAAACAGTAAATTTTGTTATTAGATTAATTTTTGTTACAGAAAAATATATTTTTACATGATATTTAATTTGTAAAATTTAATTTAAATGAGATAATAATATTATATTTATTAATAATAATAATAATAATAATTTTGCAGGGCCACTATGAAATTTGTCACGAGATATTTCTCTCAATTCCCTGTGTTCTTGGTGAAAATGGAATAACTCACGTTGTCCGTCAACGAATGACGGAATTAGAAAGAAAATTATATCAAACATCGGCAAATGTTGTAAATAATATACAAAAGAACATAAAACTTTAATTTTTATTACGCCCAATTATTTTTTTTTTCTCTATTAAATTTCCGTTCTTTTAAATCTGTACATTTCGTTATTTTAATAAACCAAAAAACATATATTGTATCTTCCAATTTTTGTTTTTTGTAAACGACAAAAAAAAAATTAAATTAAAATTTCACTTAATGAATTTTTATTAAGCGAAATTTCAAATTCTATTTCATAGAAATTTCGATTTTTATTTATTAGTTTTTAAATTTTCTGAAAATTAGAGGTGAAAATAGTATTAAATAGCACAAGAAATTTTTTTTATATACATATGTGGGTAATCAATATTTATTTTCCTCTCTGAATGTTTACAATAATAAAAAAAAATACATACGTAAATTTTTGTTGGTCGTTGTTGATGTGCTTATTTTTTTTTTTGTAAACTATTTTACTTTTTGTAGCCACAACTCTTTCTTCTGCCTCTTGCTCTTTCAAATTTACGTCCCTTTGAACGAACAAATGGTTTTGTATGCGAATGAGGAACACCAGGAGCTGCTCCAAAGTGTTTCACTGCTTCGCGTGCATTACGGCGACCCTGCATCAAAACTGTTTTACATCCAGTTGGTGCTCTCAATGCCAATTGATCGAATGTTATTATTTCACCTCCTGCTTTAAGGATCCTGCCTCTTGCTTTTTCCGTTACGCGAAGAGCGCATACCTGAAAACAATTATTACTATTAAAAATAATTTAAAATAATTAAAAAAAATTAAATAATTAAAAAAATAATTAAAAAAATAATTAAAATAAAATTTTAAATAATGTTTTTCCATTTAAATTGAAAAAATACTGTTTTAAAAATTGTTTCCATTTTTTTTTTTTTTTTTAATAAAATAATATTGAATACCGTTAGCTTTGGAACGTCGAAAATTCGTGAATCGTCAGTAACAGTACCAACAATAACAGCGATACAATTTTCTCTGCCTGGTTTCTTCATAAATCGAACAACACGAGCTAATGAAATCGGTGGACGATTAATTTTACTCATAAAGAGACGTTTTAAAATTATTTTATTGAATTTTGAATTTGTTCGTCTTGCCAAGAAGCGATAGAGCTGAAAAAATAATTCAAAATTATTATTACGAAAAATAAAATTATTTACCTAAATTAGTAAAATATTTAAAAAGGAAAAAAAAAATATTTATTTAGAAACTAAAAATTTGTCTCAACTAGTATAATAGACTTTTGTTAAAAAAAAACAATAAAAGCCAGAATAGGAAAGTTGATATTTTTTTTGTAGCGAAACATTCAAATTGGATCAATCTCTCAATAATCAGATTGACACAGAGTGCAGTTCGCTGTATTAGATTTTTTACAAATAAATAAATTATCTAATTTTAAAAATAAATTTAAATTATTTTAAACTATTTCAATAATTAAAACTTTTTTTATTAAATAAAGTAAATAAACATAAAAATAAATAAAAGTAAATTGAAGTAATTTTTGAAAAAAGGTATTTTTAATATTTAAATTTAAACGTAATAAAAAATAAACAGTAAAAATAAATTTTCCATCAATTATAAAACTATTTTAACAGAAATTTACAATAAACAAAGAAATTTCAATAAAAATCTGTTTTTGTATAAAGCTAAACAGTAACCTAACCTAAAAGTAAGGTTATGTTTTCCAGAAACAAAAAAAAAATAATTCAATTTACAAAAAAACTAAAATAAGTCGCAAAAAAATATTAGCAACAACTGATAATTAATTAATGTAAAATTTTTTTTATAAACAATACCTTGACAAGAAGACGTAAATAAACATCTTGTGATCTTGGCTCAGTCCTTCGCACCTTACGATCATGTTTATGATTAATATCGATACCCTTTAAATAAAAATATATTATTATTTCAACAAATTAAAACCATTTTTTTCTAATTATATCATTAATTTTAAAAAATTTATATTTATTTCAAAGATGTTTCTGGATGAAAAATGCTACAATAGTCACGTTTTACTCACCATTTTGACAATCAAAAGTAAACTGACATTACAACAGCTGATTTTTCGCGCATGTCACACACAAAAATGAATCACGTAGTAGTATCACAAACACATTCAAAACTTAACTTTACCCGCGAATATTCAAAAATATTTGCTGAAAAATTGGAAATATTTACTCACACAATATTTCGCATAAATATTAAAAATATTAAAAATATTAAATAATTATATAGATATTAAATAATATCTATTAAATTTGTTAAAATATTCCATAGAAAACAATGGGGAATATTTCAAGGAATGTTACATTTAAATATTAAGAATATTCCATTGGGAATATTAAAAAAAATTTATTATAAATACTTTAAAGAATATTAAAAAAAATATGGGAATATTATTGTAAAATGTTAGAGAAATATTCCTAAAAAAATAATAGAAAAATACTTCCTATAAGGAATATTTCTAGAATGTTAGATAAAAATATCTTTATACTGAAGATATTCCACTGGAATATTAGTAATATTCTATAAGAGATATTCCTGAAATATTAAATAAATATATCCTTACGATATTATAGAAGATATTACGCTGGAATATAGGTAATATTCCGTAAGGCATATTGGTAATATTCTTTAAGGAATATTGGTAATATTCTGTAAGGAATATTGGTAATAATCTATAAGGAATATTGGTAATATTCCGTAACGAATATTGGTAATTTTCTATAAGGAATATTGGTAATATTCTGTAAAGAATATTGGTAGTATTCTGTAAGCGAATATTGGTAATTTTTTATAAGGAATATTGGTAATATTCTGTAAGCGAATATTGGTAATTTTTTATAAGGAATATTGGTAATATTCTATAAGGAATATTGGTAATATTATGTAACGAATATTGGTAATTTTCTATAAGGAATATTGGTAATATTCTGTAACGAATATTGGTAATTTTCTATAAGGAATATTGGTAATATTCTGTAAGGAATATTCAGAGAATGTTAGATAAAAGTATCCGTATGATATTACAGAGGATATTACACTGTAATATTGTTCATATTCCATAATAATATTATAGATATAATATTTTAATATCTAATATCTCTAGTGTTTTTTTTTGTATATGAAAATATTTTTGTTGCTTATGGAATATTCCATTAAACTGTTAAATATTCCATGGAAAAATTAAGAATATTAGAATGGCCTACACGGAATATTTAAATTTTAAGAATATTCCTCAGGAATATTAGTAATGTTAAAAATATTCCAAAGGAATACTAGTAATGTTAAGAATATTCTACAGAAATATTAGTAATGTTACATTCAATATTCGTAAACTTTTTTTCTATATTAATATTTGTTAATATTCCACTAAACTACATTGGGAATATTCTATTGGAAATATTAAAAATATTCCATAAGAATTATGAAAAATGAATAAATTTTCTAATCGTAGGTCACATGAGTACACGTTTATATTTGTGTTATATTAAAAAAATAGTATATATATAAATATATTTATAAATAAGAATGGAGGGAAATGTTATAAAAGTGATCTTTGGGGAAAGGTATATATTACACATAAGCATATATATATATATGTATGTATACATATGTGATGGTCGATTAATGATGATGGTACCCAGGAAGGACATTGTAATTTTGCCTCAGGCTAGGCCACAATGAAGGTGAATCAAAGCCTTTAAAATCCGTTACCAGATGTCACTTCGTTAAATTGAAAAGTTTGAACATCAAAACTCTTTCAGTTCTCATGCACGATTAGGTATGCAATCTGCAAAACGAACTCAGTGCCGTACTAATGATAATAATAATAATTATTATTATAAACAAATATTTATTAATTATTATTAATATTATAAACAAATATTAGTTAATTATTATTAATTTTATAAACAATGTTTGTTAATAACAATTATATTAATAGATATTATTTATTTGTTTATAATAATTATAATAAACAACTATTTGTTAATTACAATAATTATTATAAACAAATGTTTGTTAATAACAATTATATTAATAGATATTATTTATTTGTTTATAATAATTATTATAAACAATTATTTGTTAATTACAATAATTATTATTAACAATTATTTGTTTATTACAATAATTATTATAAACAAATGTTTGTTAATAACTATTATTATAAGCAATTATTTGTTTATAATAATAATTGTAATTAAAAAGTATTTGTTAATAAAAATTATTACTATAAACTAATATTTGTTAATAATAACAATTATTATTATAAACAATAAAATTGTTTAAAATAATTGTTATTAACAAACATTTGTATAAAATATTAATAATAATTAATAAAACTATTTGTTTTTAATAATTATTATGATTAACAAATATTTGTTTAAAGTAATAATTTATATTAACAAATACTTGTTTATAATAATAATTGTAATTAACAAGTATTTGTTAGTAACAATTATTATTATTATAAACTATTATTTGTTAATAATTTGTTAATAATAATCATTATTATTATTATTATTATTATTAACAAATAATAGTTTATAATAATGATCAAATATTTATTTATAATAATAATTGTAATTAACAAACATTTGTTTAAAATATAAATAATATATTATTGCGATCAAAATAAATTTTTTATTTATTTATTTCACGATTCTTTATTAATAAAAAATATATGTAAAAAAATTTATTTATCTCAGAGCTAAATAAATATTTAGTTGCTTCAAATAAATGATTTTATCAAATTTTCGTTTACTTTTATTGAAAAAAAAACGAATCACTAATGAAAAAATCGTTTTTGTTTCTTTTCAGTCAGTCTTAAGGGGGTTGATCACCCTTTTAAGCCTCAATTTCCTACCATGGCTTTAAACAAAAATTAAAAATTTATTTTACAAAAACCTCTGTAAAAAATTCTTATTTTTATTAAAATAAATTTTCAAAAATAATTTTTTTTAATTTAAACAAATTAGAATGGGAGAAAATGAATTATTTTTTTTCAAACGGGTTTTCCGCCTGATTGACACGCACCTGACCCCCAGGTAGTGGTGGCATACGGGCCCCGTTCTCAGGTAAGTCCTGACGTTCGCCAGGTAAACTTAAACAGTAGACATTCGGTCGTCTCTTGGTCAGCTGGTTCTGTCCACCAATTCAAAAAAAAAAAAAAAAAAAAAAAGTCTAGTCCCAATGTTTAGGATTACTGACGCGTTATCCTTAGGATTAAAAAATTAGAAAAAAAAAATCGCACATACACACTCCTTTGGGGAAAAATTAAATCAAAAAAATTGAGCGCGGCTCGCGCGCCGCTTTGTGCGCGAGTGCTCAAAAAAAAAAAATTATTATTTTTTTTTATTGTTTCCAAAGAAAAACGGAAACATTGTGTAAAGAGGGAACCAAAAGTTCCCTTGGAACCTCCTCCTCCTCCTCATTTTTTTTTTTTTTTTTTATTTTGAGGAAGGAAACTAGGTGTGCTCCAATTTCCCGGTCGGACCGGAAATGACTATATCATACGCAAGCGAAGTGCCAAATGGCTCCAGCTTTGGCTGTTTCTGGAGGATCCTGATAAAGTGAGTTTCACTCAATTTTATCGGAATATTTCAAGAAATTTTGTCCCTGACAAAAAAAAAAAAAAGAAATTAATTTTATAAAAAGAGAAAAATATCAAAAAAAAAATTTAGTTAAAATAACTGTAAAAAAAAATTTGATTTGTATTTTTACAATCAAACTGTTTTTTGGTGTTGAGTACAAATAATTTTGTTTTTTTTTTTATTGTAAGAAAGAAAAAAAATTTTTGGCAAATAATAATTTGGTTAAAATACTATAATTATTTTATTAGAAATAATTCGATGTTATCCAATTTTTTTTTTTTGTTGGGTTAAACAACAAAATAATAATTTATTATTTGACAGACAAAATGATTGAAAATAAAATAATAAATAAATTAGTAATTTATTAAAATAATCAAAATAATTCAATTGATAATTTTGTTACAATCAAAATTATTGCTAAAACATAAGAATCTTTTTCTAATAAAACTTTCCTTATCACAATCAGTGAATCTTAAAAAACATTTTTCACTCTTTAAAAAATAATTAAAAGTTATTTTTTAATTTAACATTTGTTTTTAGTATCGATCATTATTATTATCATTATTTATTATTATTATTATTAATATTATTATTATTAATATTTAAGTAATAATTAATTAATAATAATAAACTTTTTATATTATTTCCTTATAATTAAAACAATTCGTAATAATAATAATAATAATAAATAATAATTAATATCAATAAGATAGAAAATTTTTTATTAAAACGTGGACCAAATATAAAAAAAAGTAAATAAATCGACAATCGGATTTAAGTAGCGTAAAATTTTTAATTATATAAATTTTATATAATTCTCAAAAAAAGAAAAAAATTTTCGATTTGAATAAAAACATATGTTGTAACATATAGTACGTAAAAAGTAACAATATTATTATTTTACTGAGATTTTATTTATTTCTTTTTTTTTACCAGAAAATCGTGATTTTTCATACATTTCAGAAAACGTGTCTTTTTATTGAGCACAAAAATAGACAAAAAAAAAAATCTATTGATATGCAAATTTTTTTTATGAAAAAAAAATTATTATTTGAAAGAAAAAGGAAATTTATTTTACTTTGCAAATTTTTTTTTTTTTTTTTTTTAATGAAAAATTAAACGTCTAAATGTATATATATATATGTGTGTGTGTGAATGAAACAAGAAGTGTCGAGAAGAAAGCGGGACGCAATCAATTTATAATAAAGTAACAAACATTTATTTATATCTTACATAAGCTTCTTTTTCTTGTCCTTGAAAAAAAAAAATTTTTTTTTTTTTCAATGGTCAAATAAAATTTTTCTTATAAGCATTTAATTACTTCCTTTATAAATAATATTAAAAAAGATAAAGTAAAATTAGTTGTTCATTTTTTTTTCTTTCTTTCTTTTCAATCAAAAATTATTTATTTATAATTTTGTAAAGAAAGATTTTTTATTTATTATTATTATTATTGTTATTATTATTACTATTTATTAATTAATTTTCTAATTAATAATTTAATTAATTTTTATTTTAAAACTTTTTTTCGTTTAATTACTGTATAAATAAAATAAAAAAAAATTTTGAGTGCAAATAATTTTTTTTTTTTAATGCAATTTATAAACTTAACTTGACACTCTTGGTACACATTTGAATGTGTGAGAGTTTCAACTGAAGAATGAGGCCTTGGCAACAGTCGCGAGTAAAGCAATTTCCATTTTTTTGCGATTTGATTTTCAATTAATTTTTTCTACTTTTTTTTATAATTATACATTGTGTAAAAAATATATATATATATATATATATATATATATATATATATATATCAATTTACACACATGTTTTGACGAGACTTAAAATTACTCACACGATACATTTTCATTTGTAAATACATATTTATTTAAATTATAAAACATTTACGTCCAGAAATTTTTTTTTAAATTTTCTTTTTGTTTAATTATTTTTATTTTATTATTTTTATTCTGAATTAAATTTTTTTCAAGTTTTTTTTTCTACTTTTTCTATAATTTATTTATTCAATATTTATTTATTTTGTAAATTTTTACTTTTAGTATTTATTTTTAAATTTCATTTTTCTTTTTTTAACTAAAAATTTAATATGTTTATGTTAAATTTTCTCATAGTTTAAAAAAAAATAATTTTATGTACATAATTGGAGAAAATAAAAAATTGTTAAAATTTCGTCGCATTAAATCCTATAGGTATTTTTTATATATAAAAGAATAATAATATTCTGATATAACACACGCTACAATTTAACTGATAAAAATTTATTGTCAACTCCATTAGAAAAAAAAAAAAAATTTATTTATTAATTTTTGTGAAAAATTGTTTTTCATTCTACCACATTGATGTAATATTTTCAATTATATTTTTTTTTACTCTCGTATATTGAATAAATAAATAATTTAATTTATTTAAAATTTTATTTTTCACTTTGTTAATTTCTAAGTTAATTAATTTTTTCTACTATTTTTCTTTATTTTTTAAATAATTTATTTCTATAAATAAATAATTTTTTTCTACCTAGATATACTAAATATTAAATTTTTTCTGTACATATAAATAAATTTTTTACAATTCATGTTGTGTAATTTTATTATAAACTAATTTAAAAAAAATGTCCCTGCAAAAAAAAAACGTTATTGCAAATATGAAAATAAAATGGAACTATAAAATTCAGGATATCGAATTAAATATATATACCAAATATGAAATAAAAAAAAAAAAAAAAAAAATTTAATTGGAAAATTAATTTTTATTTCCGTTGTGTTCGTTATTCTATATAAATAAATATATGTATTTTTTTATATATATATACATAGTATGCAGCCGATAAGAAAAAGAGAGAGAGAGAGAGAGAGAGAGAGAGAGAGAGAGAGAGAGAGAGAAGAAGAAGAGAGAAAAAAAATCAAACTTTTATGGATTCGAATGTCGACCGCATTTAGTAAACGAGAGTGCTGCCTCTCGAGTACAAGCACCTCGGATTTTAAAACAGTATAGCACATTATAAGAGACAAGGATATTGCGATATTGCAACCAGTAGCGCGGTATAGAGGTAAAATTGTTGTGCAACAATTTTAACTTTCGACTCAAAGAGTCGCGAGCTCACTATATATTATATATATATATATATATATATATATATATATATATATAAGGCTAAAGCTCCATAGGCCTGATTCTATATATCTTATAATATATTTTTTTAATTTTATTTTTTTTCAAGGTGCACTCAAGTCCTTGAGAAAGGATTCCACGAATATCCCATATCTCTGAATACACAAAAAAAAATCCCCCGAAAAAAACCTCAAATTTTTTTTTTCAATTTTTATACTAAGGCACTAATTTTAAAAATGAAAAAAAAATTTAAACATTTTTTTCACTTATATTTTATTAATTATTTATTATTAATTAATTAATTAATAAAAATATTAATAATAATAATAATAATAATAATAATAATAATAATACCTAATAGGTATTAATAATAATTAATAAAAAAATTATTTATTAATAATAAAAATAATAATTATAATAACAATGATCAAACAGAATTATTGTATAATATTATTATAATTAATAATTAATAATCTGGATAAATAATTAATGTATTAGTTAAAAAAAAAAAAAACAATTAACTGAAGTTCAAAAAATAGATCCGCATTAGTTTAAAAATTTTTTCAAAATGTTTTTTTTTTCCTTTTAATCGCACATATAAAAAATGTAACCGTCAAACGATAATATAATTGACGTCGATGATTCAACACGTGATTACTGTTCATAAAATTCTTTCCGCGAAAAAAAATTTTATCTTTTTTTTAAAAAAAAAAAAACAAAATTTAAAAAATGAATTATTTTTTAAAAAATTTTATCTTTTTTTTTAAAAAAAAAAAACAAAATTTAAAAAATGAATTATTTTTTAAGGGTGATTCAATTTAAATTCTAAACTATTTTAATTCTAGTTTAAATTAAAAATTTTGAAATTGTTATACAAAAAATTTCTGTCCAAAAAAAAAATATATAAAAAGTCCTTTTTTGAAATTTATATTAATTTTGACGAGAAAAAAAAGTTTCTTTATTTATTAACTTAAAATTTATAATAATAATATTTGTTAATAAATAAAAGAGAAAAAAAATGGAAAAAAATCATGAAATTTTCAAAAATTGTGAATTTTTATCTTCAATACATGTACAATATACACTTGAAACTTTGCATCATCGCGTCCTAATCAAAAGCTGGATTGCATCGAGGCGTGATTCGATGTTACGGCACTCACCTGCTTCATTTAGAAAGTGTCTACGTTTAATGTTTTATAGTTTATTTGCCGATTAACCACAAATCGAACCACAATTTATCGATAGCTTCAATGATCTTGAATCATCGTTAAATTACTATAAATATTAATCACAAAAAAAAACCAATACAATTTGTTCACAACCACTTTACACTTCGTTGAATGTAAACAATTTTAGAAAAAGAATTAAAAAATAATTTTTTTTATAAAATTTTAAATAATTTCTAATACACTGAAACTCTTGTTATTGAGACACATACAATCGATGAGTCACAATAGCTGAGGTTGTAGTGTATAAAGAAGAAAAATTAAAATACTACAGTGAAACTCGTGTTAGTGGGACGCTAGATTTTTAGTGTCTCAACGGCAGAGGTTTTAGTGTATAAAAAATTGAATAAAAAAGGAAATAATACAGTGGGACTCGTGTTAAAGTGACACTTGATTTACAATGTCTCAACAACGAAGGTTTTAGTGTACAAAAAATCGAGTAAAAAAGGAAATACTACACTGGAACTCGTGTTACAGGGACACAAAGTTTTCAGTGTTTCACTAACTTTGGTTCTAGTGTACAGAAACGAAACTAAAAATACTACAGTAGAACTCGAGTTAGTGGGATACGAAGCTTTTAGTGTCTCACTAACTAAGGTTTTAGCTTTTAAAAAAATTTGGGAAAAACGA